AAAAAAAAAAAAAAAAAATGCAACATTAATGTATAAGTTTGTTTTAAACTAGAGTTTAAAAAAGTTTACTTTTCAGTTATACTAAAAAACGCTGCTACGAAGTCATAAAAAAATTAAAAATTATACTTGTGGAAGTCGATGGAAAGCTTTATTTTTGGTTTTTCTAACCAAAAATGCGGTATCTTATTAAATAATTTAAAAAATTACAAAATATTTTGGAACTTCAATGACAATTTGGTAATGTTAAGAAGATCGAACCAAAGAGGTTTTGTGAAAATTTAGGATTAGCTTTTTGTGGTTTCCAGACGCTTTAGAGAGAAGTGTTTCGTGTGCAATAGTTGCCCAATGGTTTAGTTGAACATTAATAATAGGATAAAAAAGTGACTTACCAAATTGTAGGGTGGCATTAAAAAAGTCCTGCGGTCCGTCTACGCCGCAACAATTGTGTTCCCGCTGCAGGGCATTCCAAACTATGGTGAATTGTGGATCGGAGTCGTATTCTGCCGATAACTTGTGTCTCAGTGCCGGTTTAAGTTTGGCGATCATTTTGTCGTATCTGTACACCCAGTATACTCCCAGAACAGCGTCACCGATGAGCAACCCCAGTAGCATATGCCAGTAGATGTTCAGTAGCCGTTCGTTAAGAGTCTTCGCTCCCATGCAACCGACCAGTTGTAAGAAGCCGCACTGGACGGCTAATGCAACATAGGCATACAGCAAGCTGGGATGAGCGAGGTCCAGGTCGGGTACGAGGTGCCGACGCTGGTCAGCGACTACCAGCCGGCAAGCGATCACTACAAAGCAAACGACGCAGACCAGCAGTACGGTGTTGCACGTGTATATCCAGATACGGTAGTAGCGCATTGCCCGGTGTGCCGGTGATTGAGATACCGTCATCCGAACGGTAAAGCACTCGAATATGTCTGCGGCCAAGTGGTGCTGGATCAGCATAACGGGCATCATGGGGGCAACTTCATCCGCTCAAAGTTGAAATACCTGCCGTCGACGCCACTACAATAAAAATCAATAAAAAAATATCACGAGATGATTCATTTATACATTATGTGTGATAATGTGTTTGAAAAAAAAAAAAAAACTCACAATACGCAGTTGAATAATTTTATTTTTGATTCGACAAAAGGTTATTTTAACATTTTTTCTATGATAGTTCTTTTGTTATTTTACATTAAAATTGATCCACTGGCTGTACATTGTCAAATTATTATATGGAAATATCAGTAATTTTGTTTTTCTACGTATATTTGATCTAATGATTTTTTCACTATGTGTATTCATAACTTTTTTAGATTTAATATACTAAATTCGCTGTATTTTTATATTAGATTAATACACGCGTGACAAAAAAGGAATGTAGGAAATACGTCTCATTTGATAAAATAGCCTCCTTAAAAAAATTTTTTTTTATAAAAATGTGTTTTTTGGTAAAGGCGTACAGTCATCGGAGGTCGAGCTCTTCGGGAAAAAATTTTATGACGTCTTTTCCTATAATAAATTTCTTAATGTTATATTGGATCGATAAATTTCTTTGTTTAGTTCTTTATAAAATTAACTAATTAACCAATGAAAAAAAGTTGTTTGAAACCATTTCGAGTAGTAGTCAATTTTGTATTTAACGTCTATTTTTTCAACATACAACTTATAGTTCATTAGGAATCGTAACAGTCAATATTTTGTATAAAAATTCCTAAACTTCAATAAATAATACTATTTGACGTTCTTTGTTGTTCAAAATACCGTAACAATAGAAAGTCAGTTAGAATCAAATAACATTTTACTTGTTTATGCGAAAAGTTGTTTAATATTCTAATTTATGAGTTTATCCAAGTGGAAAATGGGCCAGCTTAAAAATTCACACTATGAAGCTTTCGCATTGTATTCATTTATGAATGTGCACTGTATATTCTATGTTTTTCCGTGTTATTTTGTTGCATTTTGATAAACGCCTGATTTTAGTCTCTGATTAAATTATTATCAGCTCGGGACTATAACAGTGCAGTAATAATTGTTAGTTGTTGGCTCGTGACTCAGCGTTTATGGATATCGGTATGCCAAAAAATATGCCAGAATAGCGATTTATCAAACTTTTCAAGTTTTGTTAGTAGTTATTAGTTTCTAAACATCATTTCAGCCACCTCCACGATTGTTCTATCTCTTGGGATCATGACCGACGACATTTATTATTATTAATAACTAAACCGGAAAGGCGAGTTTCCGCTTTCAAGACCATCAGGATGCCGCATTGTAGAAAATTCCAAGAAGTCGGCGAAAACAGTAATAACAAAGAAAATAAAAATTATCCGTTTGACACTGTTGAAGAATATCTGCGTGTTTAACGCAAAGACGAGTAGAACGTTGTTTAGGGCGGGTAAGGTCTTTTAGAAAATCTCAACCATTTTGACGAACTTGTATTTTCACGTACGTAGGAAGCGTTTGACATGAAATGTCAAGTACATTTCTTAGTACAAAACTATTTTAGTTATTTTTCGTTACGTCGTGACGTTATTTTAAGTAGGACAAATTTTGTACTGTTTAACTATATCAGGATATAGTTTATAGGATTTGTTTGGAAGATTCGCCGAGTTGTTTCGTGGAGTTCTGATAAACATTTGCTTGTTATAAATAATTTTAATTGAAGGTGATAAAAGTTAAATAAAGTAAAAAGCAACTTTGTTAAGTAGTTAATGTGATTTCATTATAAAGCTAGTTGATTACATTTCTTATAATTTGAATTTCGTTTAATATTGTTGCACATTTTTTTTCATGTTATCCTATTAAAGGGATGTAAGTTGCATGAACGATGATCGTTTAGCTTATTTCCCTTTTAATTTTACGCAACATCTACTTGTTTGAAGCTAATATTGTGGAATTAACATAATAAGCCGAGCATTAATGTGTTGTCCGGGCTATTTTTTCACGGTTCTGTTCATCATTAATAAAAGTATTTTATACAATGTGTGTTAGTATAATTTATTAGTTTATTTACTTTTTACGAGTTGGAATATGAATCAAGCCCAGTGGAATTAAAAAAAAATTATTCGCTTGGATGCCGTGGTGTAATGGATAGGTTCTCTGATTTTAACATGTTCATTTACTGGAAGTTAATCACTGCACGACCGCGTTAATTGGTGATCGTCCAATACTCTCTCTGTCGGTCTTCTATTTTTGCGCTGCCTTAATTTTACTTTTTTTTTTCACCCTACACGGGTGCGTTTAATTTTATACTGAAAACGAAACAATTAATAAAATAAATGAGCTAGTTAATTTCGCTGTTTTTTGTGAGCCACTCGTTCGTTTTACTCGTGCCCCGAAATAACTGTGTACATCGATGGAGTTTTAATAGCAACCCACGTGGAATAAATACAGTCGGGCAAAGAAGAAATAATGTGCCATTGAGCAATTTCTCGTACGTTAATAATGTATTGTGCGGTTAGCTCTACGATGTTATTATCTAAATTAGACATAACAGAAACGGTTTTGCTACGTAGACAGATACATCCCAGTCTTCATTAGGGTGATCGTATCTGGTAGTCTACTCGAACGCACGTTGGCATTATATAAATTGCTGCTATCCACTCCGAGGTATGTATTATATTCTGGTTGGATAGTATGAATACCTATGAAACGGCGTTTTAGGTTATGCAATATTAATACATTAGTGTGCTCGTGCGTGCGTCTTACACACAATACACGGAGCGCTCCTTAGCCGTTTTTCTGGTGCCTCTGTATCTTTCGTTTCGTCGATCGCACGTATGCCATTCGTTAGTTAATTAATTCGGCTGGGCTTATCGTTATTATGTCGACGGATTGTAATCAATGTACGATCCCCAACAGAATGATACAAACTACGATAATAAATGAAAACATTATACTCGGTTGAAGATGTGTTTAAACGTTTCTTGATTTATAACACAGTTCTTAATCGTCGAATCCCGAGATTGAAACCGTTAACTTATTTTGGCATTGATCTTTTATCGATTCAGAGGTGTGTTGCGAGACGACAATTATCCAACACATACGAAATCAAAAGGTAAACGGTTTGACGCGCGCAAAATAAAATAAAGGCAATCACGAACTAGGTCGGTAATTATTGTTTTCTTTTCAAATTCAAACAATTAATCTAATTCGGGATTTGGGACCGCGATAGAACCGCAGTGTTATTACTGGCGGTGTATACTTTTTCTCCCCTGTGGATTCTTTGGATCTTTGCGAGTAAACTTAATAACATCACGTCTTTAGATATAAATATATTTTTACGGCTCTGCCGTAGTGCCTGTGGTGGGGACTGACAAAAGGTATGAAGATGGCAATCGGAATTGTTCGAAATAGTGCTGATGATATTTGTACGACTGCTACACTCTGTCTATTTTTCTAATAAATTTCTCACGACTTGTGTGCATTTTGTCACTTTGTGTGTTTTACGCAGCTAACCGAATATTAAATGGTTGAAATAATGCGCTGCAAATAACTCATTCTAAAATTACTTTTAAAATTTCCCTTTACTTGCAAAATGAGTATTTTCAGTAGTCTCGTCTACTTTTCATGTCGCTTGTCGTTCCAAATTTCATTTTAAATGCAAAATTAGTACATGTTCAGTATATTTTCTTCTATCGTTTTTGTTTATAAATATTTTTTATTCGTGCTGTTGTATTCACGCGTTGTTCATATAATTACTATTTTATTAAGTTCATAGATATTTATAAGTTGACTAATAATTTCATAATATAAAAACGAAAGCCTATTTAAAATTTAATTTAGCTGTTTTGTTTCTCTATAGTTAGAAATAATATTTTTATCAATGAAAAATAATTATTACAAATATATAATTGGCGAGAAATTAAATGTTGAATAGAGAAAATGAGTGTAATATAAATATGAATGTCGAAGCCAAGTATATTTTCGTCTACATTAGAAAAAAGTTAATTCACTCACATATTTATTTTTTAAGTTTGTTTGCTTCATTAACATTTAAACCTTTTTATTAAAATCATAATTAGTGTTGTTTTGCTGTTACCTTTGAGTATACGATGAAAATAAAAAAAAATATATAAGAAGTTTTCTTTTTCTCTTCACCAACGGATAAAAAAATTATGGTGTATATTAAAAGGCTTCTATGTAATAATAATATGTAATATAACCTTATAAAACACTATTCGCTTTTCTGTTCTAATTCTCAGTGAATAAACCATCAATTTGCCATTGTAGAGTTTCCCTTTGTTATACTTTTAGTTGGTAATATTTCTAATTATTAATTAATAGTTATTATACGTAGTAACTAATTTAATTAAACGACGGACTTCAAATGTTGCGACTGTACTTAATATAATTATTAAGTTCTTTTACTCAAGTAATTTTTTAAGCTACTCATCTTAATAGTGGAATGTTTTTTTTGGGGGGAGTAGATAAATGGGGAAATTACCCTCTTAATATTATCTTAACCAAGCGATTTTTTTATTTAAGAATACTTTTTTATCTATAACCCTATTATTTGATTTTCTATCGTAAGTACATAAACTACTATGATTAGAGCAACTTAGGGTAGACCATAAATTCTGACTGTGGTATAATATTCTTAATAGTTAATTGACAACTTTTCTTTTTCTCGTTGAAACATAAAAATTGAATTTAACATGCCGTGTTACTATAATAAATATAATGCATTTATTATCTTTTTATAAGCTGTTGTTGAAAACTAATAGTTATAATCAATTTTTCAAATTTTATTTGCTATAAAATATTTCTTGTGAACATATTTATTATACCTTATACGCTATTAAAAAAAAAAAATTGTTAATGTGTATGGACGGGCGTATGTAATTTGTGCATCGTAAAAGTATTATTATTGTTTTATTTTAACATTAAATTCTCGATCATTTTGAATGAAATCAAAATACATATACTTTATATTTAAAGTGTGATAGTAATAAAATTGTTATCAAATTTTTTATTGTTACTAAAAATATTTTTCATATCTATAAATTGAAGGTTGTCCC